CCCCGTGGGCCGGCCACAGGGTCGGGGAGCGGTCCCAACAGGCCCGACGGCAACCCCGTGTGTGGGGCCTGGCCTCGTGGCACGCAGGGTCCCCAGGAGACACCTGAGGTTCGGAGAGGGGACGTGCCAGGCCCGAGACACACAGCCCGCAGGTGAGGGGGAGCCTCCGGGCGGGACGGGGGGCCCTGCTCACCTTGGTGAGCAGCAGGTGTGGGAAGGGCTGGGGAGGCGTTCCTCTGGGAGGTGCTCTGGGAGAGGGGCCACAGGAGAGGGCCTGGCCCGGCTCCACCAGCTTCCTCAGGCTGTCAGCACGGACCGCCCACTGCCTCTGGCTCGCCCCCAGCGGCAGGGCCCACTCAGGTTCACGGTGGGGCTGATCTGTGGTAAAGGAGGGACAATTCACAGCACAGAAACTGCAAAACTATTCCTGTCCGTGTCCCGAAGTGCAACAGAATATCCAAATTGGTTCGGAGCTCCAAGCAGGCAAGTGGGCCAATGGATGTAACCCATGGACAGATGGATGGACAGACAGGTGAAGGCCAATGGGTGGAGAGAGAGGGACAAACAAAGTGAGAGATGATGACAGAAGAACAGACAGGCACTACTGAATGGATGGACGCAGAGACATAAAGGATGGGAATAGCAGAGAGATGAATGGACAGAGGCTAAAGAACAGACAGGAGACTACAGATGAAGGACAGAGGGACAGCGTCAAAAGGAGCCAGGAAGAGACAAGCCAGGCTGCCTGCAGCCCTCCTTGGCCCGAAGCCGAGGTGCCGCATCAGCAGGTGGGGGCAGATAGCCTGTAAGTCCCCTGGCACGCTACACCCCTGCCCTGAAACCGCAGTCTCCTCTCTGGTAAAATCCAGAAAATCATCCCAGACACCCCTAGTGCCTGTGCAGGACTGAAGGAGCCCACATGCACTTGGACTTGGCCCCTTACCTGGGGCACCCTCTGTCTGGACACCTGGGACCTTCTCTCACTTTACAAGGCCGGGGGTGGGTGAGGAAAGGGCTACCGGAGGCAGGAGGAGTCATTCCAGGAGTGGAGGAACCTCCCTTGGGTTCGCTATAAGCTTCACTGACAAATTCATCCTGTAGCTTCCCAAGCAAAAGGCTCATAAAATGTCATCAATGTTCATAACGGTTCATAAAAATGATCAGTTGAGCAGGCAACTTCAAAATGAGGTAGAAATAAGTTTAAAGATGTTTTCACTGTAATTCGGCTCTAGGACCCAGATATTTTCAGAGACGTAAATAATAATACATATGGCACAGAACCAGGCTGGGAGTGGGGAGGACAGGCTCCCACCTTGGGGGCTGGCCCCTCAGCTTTGGCTGAGGAAGCTGGGCCTGTGCTGGGTGCCTACTGTCTCCTAGGCTGGGCCCTTCCTGTACCCTCCCTGGAAGCCCTGTGGTAGGACTTGACCCCACTGACCAGAAGCCACAGCCTGGGCTCCATCCACAGACTGACCATCCTTTGCTCATCTGGAATCTAGAACTTGGGTCTCCCCAGTGCCCTCCCAACTTCCTCATCAGGTCCCCTCATTTTTATCTCCTTGCTATGTCTTGGGTTCGCCGCCCCCTGCCTTCCATCATGCTTCCACAGCCTGAACCACTGCAGACTGGAGCAAACCTCCAACCTCCTGGGCAGGGCCTCCAGAAGGACCCCATCAAAACACACACTCTATCACCCCTCTGCCCAAGAACTTCGGGTGGCTCCTCACTGCCTGGAGCACCGTGTACTACAGGCTCAGCATCCAAAGTCCTTTAGCATTCAGTTGGGCCAGACCTGCCAGCCCCCCGCAGCCCCACATCCCCTTCCCTTGTTCTTCCACATCTTTGCAGACATCCTCTTTCCCTAGTGAATGTCTCTACATCCTATGAGACCCCAGGCACACATCACCATCCTCATCTCTGGGTGGGTCTTTGGGAGGGTGGAGGGGGAGGTCGTGGCCTCATCTTTGGGCAGACTGACTCAAATGGTCAGTCCCATGTGGGAGGGTTAGGCTGCCCAGAACCCACCTGTGCTATTGTTAGGGCCTGGGCACAAACCGACCGACAGACCACAGACTAGGGAGGGGACGAAGGGAGGGAGGCTGGAAAGATTTAGAAGCAGACCCACGGGAAATGGAGCAACAAGGCTCCATCCTGCCCACGCACGATGTGTGGGGATAAGCCCAGACCCTACCTGCAGGACGTCTCTCGGAAGGAGATGTTCACGTCCCAGTGGGTGTGGACTCTGCAAGGAAAGAAGCGGAGGGTCAAAGTGGCCTCCAGGATCTGGTACCTGAACAGCAGGGTGTGTGTATGGCATAGCCCTCATCTTCCCCAGAGCGCTGGCCCCAAGGGAACTGGGTTGGCTCGGATTTGTCTCCAGTGCTATCTGGTACCAGCTCAACCAGCCAGTGGCTGCCACCAGGATAGGGCCGTGGGGTAGGAGCCGACTCCTGGTCTCACCAGACAAAGGAATTGGGAAGGACAGAAATGAGGCTGCCACACCTGTCCTTCTTGTTGCAGCGAACCCAGGAGAGCTGCCACATTGTGCTGAGGGCGGGGGTGGGGAGGGAAGCTGCAGCCTCTTCTGCGATCAGCCATGCAACTGAACCAAATTCCTAGTTGCTAGAGCTGCTCCAGCCAGGCTGGAACAGGTCAGGGAGCAAGCCCCATGGCCGCTGCCGGCACCGATGGTCCAGAGTCAGCCCAGGTGGGTGCAGCTTCCTGGGTCCCAGCTGCTACCAGTCTGCCTCCTGAAAGCAACCACCGCACTTGTAGGTAGGAGGGATGCCAAAACGAGAGGTCAAGTAAGGAAACAGCTCTGCCCTCTGCCTGTCCCCTCACTCATAGCCGTGTTCCCAGAAAGACCCTCAGGCTGAGGGATGGTGGTTGGAAGCCTGTGTGGGTGTGTCACCTTAGCAAGCGTGGGTAGGAGGGCTGGGAAGTGGGGGTGTTGGGGGTTTGGGAGGGTTATTTTAGGGCAGGAGATGTTGGAACACGTTGAAAGACTAGGTGGGAAGAGAAAAGGCCTAGAAACTCTGGGGGTGAGTAACATGTGCTGGATGGACAGACAAATGAATGGACCGACGACAGATAGATGGAGGCATGAAGAGGTGAGTGGACAGTGGGAGGTGTCTCTGCCAGGAGAGGAGATGGTGGGAAGTCAGGAAGAGTGGCCCCGAGCCGGGAAGGGACAGTGGGTAGCCAGGAAAGCTGCCTCCTGCCAAGGAGAATGAGCCTGAGAGTTTCAGGGACAGCTCCAGGAAGGGGGCTGCTCAGCTCCTTTCTCTCCGCCTGGCCGTGTTGGTATCAGGCCCTCCCTTGCTGGGTCTCCCTGACTGCCCTCCTCCGAGAGCCCCTGGCCCTTCCTAGAGCCTCCTTCCTTCCCCACATGGAACCTCGTCGACCCCCTCCCTCCAAGTGGGGGCAGTGTAGTTTCTCACTATGGTCTTGTGGTGTCAGGGGTTCAGGCTGTTCCAGCTTCGGCAGATACCAAGACATGACAAGCTCAACCTGGGCCCTGTCCCCAGGGCAAAGGGTCCTCGCCCTGGCCTGGCCTTCAGCTACCTGGAGACACCAGTCTTGATGTCCCGACCAGAGCCCGGGTGCCTCCCCCGAGCCTGGCCCCCAGTAAAAGTACCTTCTCCTCATGAGAGGGACATGTGGGGTGTCCCCCTGTTTCAAGCCTGGTTGCCGCCCACAGGCTGGGCCACTCCCATCGCTGTCACCATCACGGGACGAGAAGCTGGGGGTCAGCTCCTTCTTTAGGACCCGTGCAGTGGGCAGGGCAACTGTCCTCTTGTCTGCCAGCCGCCCCCGGTTCTGGGCAGGGAGGGAAGAGAGGAAGGTTAGGCTGAGCCAGGACCCTCAGGGTCCTGGGAGCTGTGCACTCCAGGCCCAAGCCTCAGGCAGGGTGCAGGTGACGGAAGCCCTCAGAGCAGCTGCTAAGATCAAATAGGCACCATCCCTGGCCCCGCTACAGGGCTTCTAGCCCACAGGACAGGCCCGAGGGTCCACATGGGTCCCAGTGGCTGGAGCTGAAGACAAGAGCAGAAAGATGAGGCCCGGGTCTGCTACCGGGGAGCGGGGTGCAGTGAAGGGCTGTAGGCCCTGGCCAGGCTCCTCGTGACACTGCCTCGTCCAGACTCTGCACTCTAGCCGGAGTGTGGGGGTGCCCACCTGGAGGCAGACCCCAGCTTTCTCGGCCCCAGGGAGCCCCAGGGACCACGTGTGCACAACACAGCATGTCTGCATTCTGCCACGTGTTCAACGTGCAGGTACCTCTGTGTGCTTGTGTCTGCTGGACCGTCCCACAAGCTCCTGCATGAACCCCCAGCCACTGCCAAGTCCTGTCTTCTATTCTGCTAGTGCCACGCAGGGTCCAGTTCAGGGTTGTTTGGAGCCTGAGTCTGGGGCCTGATCCTGCTGACCCCTTGCAAACTGCAGGCCCGGGGTTCACAGGTCACTTGATGGGGAGCCCTTACCAACCTAGACCCTGTGTCCCATGGGCCCCTAGTGAGCCTACCCTCTGGGTCAGAAACAGAGATTCCATTTCTTCCACAGCACCTCCTTCTCCCCTCCCTACACCCATGTTGTGAGGATGTGGAGCTCATGTGTGTGCTGTGTGCTGGGAGATCAGAGCAGGAAGGCATGTCCTGTGCACAGACATGGAGGGTACTCCACACCGAGCTTGTCCGTGCTCAGAGCACACTATACAAGGTCACTATACACCAAGGCTCCCTACAGTGTCCTTAGGTCCTGCTGCCCCAGTGGAAGAAGAAAAGTTACTGATTATTTTCGGGTGGGCAGGAACCCTTTTCTCATTTAATAAGGGGTTGCTGTTTCAGGGGGGTGGCAGGGACCTTGGGATTATCTAATTCTCTCTCATCTCTTCAGTCACCTGGGGACCCTCGGACATCCTCTTTCCTGTTGCAAGGACAATGCCATCATACCCACGAGCTTGAGGAGGAAAGTGTAGAGGAGGGTCTCGCCTCACCCTGGACCCGTGTCATCCTGGACCTGAAGGACTGCTAAGCAGCCACCATCGTCCTGCCCTCCAGAATAAGGGACCTTCCCTTCAGACCCAGCCCACCCCAGCTCCAGATTTGGTCAGTGGCCCCAACAGGGTCAGGGGGCCCTAGTCTTCTCCCCTTGCTTGGTCTGGGGACCACAACTGCCCCCCTCTCCAGGCCCCCCACCGCGAGCCACAGTCTCCCCCATACTTGCCCTTATGAATCCACTTGGGACACCCTCCGTATTCCTCTCTGCAACATACTCAGTGAGAGACCCTGGACAGCACTGGGGCCGGGTGGGAGTCTGAGGGTAGGCCTGAGAGATGAAATGGCCTGCTTTGTGGCCCCTTCTGAGATCCCGGCCTTGGCCCTGTGCTCTAACAGCAAGAGCAGAGAGTGGTTGAGCCGCAGGTGCGAGGGCCTGTCTGGTCCAGCTATTGGGCGCCAAGGGCAGTGTTTTCAACAACCGCTGGCCTGTCTGAAGTGTGCACTGCTGGGAAGTCCCACTCCGGTCTGCCCTTCTCTAGCCTGTGGCCCAAGCACCAGGACCTCCTCTCCTGTCTTTCTGCTTTAATTGAACTATTCTCTTAAGAAGAAAAGGAAATGCATTTCCCTCTGCTTCTCATCTGTAGGGCGAGGAGGAGGGGAAAATGAGGGCAGTAATACCACCACTTGGGATGAGGCCAGACCAGCTATGCTGGCCTGCGGTGGCTCTTGGAGGTGCTCCTGTGGGAGGGGAGCTGAGGAAGAGGGACCAGGATGGGCAGCCCTGACCCCGACCAAGGACAGGGAGCATACTTTCCTCCTACGCACACCCAAGACCTCAGCCACTCACCCCTGCTCAGCAGCGCACAGATTTGAAAACTCTGTGACAAACCTCTGTTGCTAGTCAACGATTGGCGCCTCAGAACACAAGGAGGGGAACAGGAAAGCCATCTTGCATGTCTGCACGATCCCTGCACCAAATATGCACACCCACATTGTGCCCCTGGGGTATCTGTGGCTGTGAGGTGTGTATGTACCTTCAGGCCTGGCTGTGGGGGATGGAGGAAGACCATCTCTATGTGGCGAAAGCGGGGGCTGGAAAGACAAGGGGGTCTGTGTAGCTCCTTCCTAAGGGAAGGGTACAGGGATGGGCCTGGGAGCGACCAGGTTCAGGAGAGGCAGGCCCAGGTCTGAGGCATCCCTCATGCAGGACAGGTACCCGGGAGCCCCAGACAGGTAGGCAGTTCGAGGTCGTGGCCTCATCCCTGCCAGACCTCCCCACCCCTCTCCAATCCAAGCAATGTCCCGGGGAAATTGATACTGGGCTCAGGCCACCTGAACCCCACACTCGTGTGAGAGACCTCTGGAAGGGTGGGCTAAGACAGGCTGGGACCATCCAAGCCGAACAGAAACCCCAGGCTAGCCTTGAGGGTGCCCAGAAGACTCTTCTCCAGTACCAGCTGCTTGAAAAGGTGCCTTAAGTGGAGCGGGAGCTCAGCTTCTTGCCCCAGGCAGGTACCGTAGTAGCAGGTAAGAGGTGGGCTGCCTGTGCGCACATACTCTGACCACGAGCTCATGGCAGACAGGTGTGTGGGGTAGGCACACAGGAGAGGCATGGCTGTATCCCCGTCCCCCTGTCCAACTTGTGTGTCTGATCTGGTGTCTGTATTCACAGGTGTGTTTGTGGCTTCCCCGCCTCCAGGATCCATGAGGAAACCAAAACATCCCTTCCTCCTTCCTACTTCCAGTCCAAAGTAAAGAAGCTGAAGGTGGTGTCCTGGGTCCTCTCTCACCCCTTCCTGTGTGGGGGGCTGCAGACGCCAGCAATAACAGCACAATCCCAACCACCACCAGCAGCCAGGGCCCTAACCGGCTCTCCCCGAGCAGCTCAAAATTGGTTCCTCTCAAGATGCAATTTCTTCTTCAGATCAGTCCTCCAACTATGGCTGCCTGGAGGACATAGGATGTGGAAGACAGTGCTTCAGGGGCAGGCCCAGCACCCCGATCTCTGCTGCTCCCCTAGGCCAAAGAGGGCGTCAATACATGTCTACACTGGGTTGGGGGTCCCACATCAGCCTCCACCTCCAGATCTTGACACCAAAGGCCCACACTGCTCAGATTCTGCCCCCAACTGGGTTGTATCCTCAGACTCTCCTGGACATCCAGGGCCTTGCCCAGCAGGGTTCTAGCTTTTGGCATCCCAGAGACACAGGTTACTCACCTCCAAGCTGTGACCACCCCAGAATGTACATCCAGGCCAGCCAACAGTGTCACATCCCAGAACAAGTGTCACCTTAGGACCAGCCCCTCTCCCAAGCCAGGCCAGCTGACACAGTGACACCCCCACCCCCACCCCAGACCTGTGACAGGGCAGGGTCCCAGGCCCCAGGTGGATGGCACTGTCCAGGGAGGAGACCTTTACAGCCTAGGCTGTCCCCAAGACCTGAGAAGCAGCAGCTCCAAGATAGGGAATGGTCAGGTCCTGCATCCAAAGAGCGGAGGGCTGCCCCAGGATTCCCACCCAAAGCAAAGTCTCCCCTATTTGCCCCTGCGGGGGCTCACTCCTGCACACTGGCAGGGTTGAGGTTAGGACTCTGCATCCTAGAAAACAGGCACACGCTCCACAGGGGAGAAGGAAGACCCAAAGCCCCAACTTTTCTCCCACATCTCACCACCGGGGAGGATATTCGACAGCCCGGACAGTCGCAGATCGGAGGGTGCACCTGCAGAATCCCCTTGGACATAAGCGTCCTCAGACTTTTCCTGTGAGGAGAGCCGAGGCAGGACCGGTGAGAGAGCAGGGCTGGGGCACAGGTAGAGCCGGCACGCACGGGTGCGCTTTCGGGGCGCAGTAAGCTGCAAGGCCGGTTCCCCCTCCTGGCACGTGTAGGAACATCCAACTTCTGAACCCGCTCCCTGGCCCTGCCGCCCACCACACCCTCGCGGACGCCGCGGGGATCTGCGGGGCTCAGAAACTCACGATCCCGGCAAGCGCCGGCCCCTGACCAAGGGCGGCCTCCTCCCCGCCCCCTGCGTCCCTCCTCCCGCTCTCTACCCTCTCTCCAAGCCGGTCCGGGGGAACTGGGAACAGGGTTCACTAAGGTAGAGCCTGCGCGCCGGTGAGCGGCGCCGCCGGGACCAGGGCTGTGTCTGAGCCCTCAGCGGGAGGAGGGCGGCCACAGCAGAGCCGCGAGCCTCAAAGCCCAGCGCGACGCGGTCCCCAACTTTCTAAGGATCCCCCACCCCCGCCCCTGTCGCTCGCTGCGCTTCCCCCGTTTGCCTGCTCCGGCGCCCTCGCAACGCGCCCTCGGAGCCAGACTCCTGAATGCTCCGAGCAGGCTGCTCCCAGCCCCGCCGCCGTTCCAGCTCCGCGCGCGCCCCCGCCTCGACGCGCGCCCCCGCGGCCCCCACCTGCCCACGACACCCCTCCACCTTCCCTTGCCTTCCAGCAACTCGCACCCGCACCCCGGCCGCCCGTGGGCAACTCTACTCCCGCTGGAACCTGGTGGCTCCCTGACCCGGGAGGGAAGTTGGGTCCCGCCCAGCCAGCCTCCCGCCGTCTCCCGAGTTCCCCTAAACTTCCCCTGGGCCACACAGCCCAGGAAGCCCGCAAAGACCTTCCGAGTGGGAGGAGGGGCCGGCTCGTGTGCAGCCGGGAGCCCAGAGCACCGCGGCTCAAGCTGAGGTGGCGGTGGAGGCCGAGGGCGCTCTGCTCGGGTCCACCAAGGCGACCGTGCTGGGGGCGGTGGGGGGGGGGAGTGTCCCCGCGGCAGCCCCAGAGTCGCAGCGCCCTCTCCGGGCGGAGATGGAGTCTCCCAGGTGGCAGAATGAGGGGGTCCGGACCCAGGGGTCCTCGGGGAGCAGAGGGGAGGGACCGTAGCGGCCTGCACCCCCACCGCGGCCGCACCTTTGTGGCGGATGCTGCGCCTCCAGTCCTTGGCCGTCTCTCGGCCGCTGACGAACGAACTGGAACTCGTTGGGTGTGAGCCACTCGCCGCGGTGGCGGATGGACGGACCCTTGCTGCCTTGGCTGATCAGTTCACCCCTACCCCCACCCAGTTTGCGCACGGAGAGCAGCGCGCGATTGGCGCCGCGCTCCACCTCGATGCCCAGCTCGCCGTTGTCCAGCAGCGGCTGGAAATTGGGGCCGCGGCCGCAGTGGCTGAGAAGCGTTCGGGGGCCAGAGGGCCCCGGGGCAGGTGGAGGTGCGGGGCGGCCTCGTGCAGGCTCAGGTAGGCGCGCGGGGAGCGGAGTGGTGGAGCCCACAGCGCCTCGTAGCCAGCGGTCGCGGCGGGTAGCGAGGCGGCCTGGGGCAGGGTGGCCACGGCCAGCAGCGGTGTCGGGTAGCCTGGGAGAGGCGGCAGTGGCAGTGCGGCCAGGGTCGGATGGAAGGTGGCCAGAGCCAGGGCCAGGTCTTCGCGGCCTGGGAGCTCCTTCTTGACCGCTGGCGTGACGGGCCTGTGGCCTTGTAGCCTGGCTCTCCGCCGCCGGCGCCACTTGCTCGGACCTGGGCTGGCGTTGGGTCTCGAGGGCGGGGGGCCCGGGAGTCTCCCGGCCGCGCGCCCGCCCTACCCGCTACTGCGCCCAAGCACCTGCGGCCGCGCCGCCCGCCGGGCCACCATGGGCCGCTTCTCGGCCGGCTGCCGGGGCCTTGGCTGCCCGAGACATGGTGCTGCGGGAGCTCCTCTCGATCCCCTATCGACCTGCCGAGCGCCGCAGCCCCGGGGCCCCAGGGCTCCACAGGACCCTGGGCCACCTGCGCCCGCGCCCCCTGGGGCGGCCCCGCTCGCTGGTCCGCCCGCAGGGCCCAGCCGGGCAGTGGAGTCCAGAAGTCTCTGGCCCTGCGCCCCGCACCGCCCGGGGGTCCCAGGCCCCAGCCCCACCTCGCCGCCCCGGCGCCCCGGCTGCGCACCCGCGTACACTGGGGCGCGCCCGCCTGGCAGGGACTTGGGAGACTCCCGCCGCCACCGCCGCCACAACTTGGCCCATTTAAATGGCCCGGGCTCGGCGGGCGGGCGGGCGCGGGCTCCAGCAGGGGGTGCGTGACGGCCGACTGGGCTCACAAGGCTGGCGGCGGGGGCGGTGGGACAGGGCTGCGCCCCTGCCCTATTTCCAAGTGCGCGAGGGTGTGCGAAGGAGCGTACGCTAGCGAGAAGCTGCGCGCACCGACCGCGCCATCATTGAGGGAGTCATGGGGCGCAGCTGGGAGCCCCGGACTACACTTGGGGAGGGGGCGGGCCCAGGACCGAGAGTGGGCTCCTGGCGCAGGAGGGACCTGTGATTAGGAGCGGCCCGCTGGCCTGGCGGTTCTGGGTAGGAGTGTTTTCACAGCGGCGGTGGGTGGTGGGCATCAGTGTCGGGCGTGGGTGGTCTCCTCTGCATCTGCACGGTGTGAGGCTGTGGGTTTGTGGTGTGTGGCCTCTGCAAATGTGTTGGGGAGGTTTCATGTTCTGTGAACAACACGAAAAGGATGCTGTCAACTACCGCCGCCTTACTACTCTGCACTTTACATGCCTTAGTTCACTTGATCGTCTCAATATGAGTTTTCCTCATTATTCTCATTTTATAGATGAGGAGGGTGAGACACAGAGAGGTCAAGTAACTCTCCTGATGTCATACAGCTGTTTTAAATCCAGGCTCTCTGACTCCAGGACAAACAATATCTGAGCCATGCTGTGGGGCAGGAAGGTGGGCTAGACGCAGTCTGGTTGAGGGATGGAAGATGTGGGGAGGATGAGGGGCTGATGAGTGCGAGATTGCACACTTGAGCACATTTCTGTTCCCTAGTATGAGCCAGTCTGGGGAAGAGGAACCCTCTACACTCATGTCCACTTTGGTGCCTTGAGGAAGCAGGTCAGCCTTGGCCCAGTCCTGGCATGAGGGTGGCTTGTCCCTTGGTGTTCAACTCCCATCTCCCTGCAGGCCAGCAGCCCAGCATGCCGGCCTTGCAGTAGAAGCATTAGGAAGAGAAACAGAATCCTACTAATAGCTGATGAGACAGGTTTGTCTTTCTCTGATGTGTTATTCTGAACAAGCTAGAAAGTAGCCTCAGATCCCATCCCAGCGCCTAGACCCCCACTGAGATGCATTTGGCATGGCATTTTTGTGGGCATCTCTCTGACCAGGCTCTGGGGGGTTGAGCTGGACCACAGGCGTGCTTGCATGAGCACCTTGTGCAAGGGAGTGATGGAAGTGAGGGAGCACCCCACCCTCACCCACCTCCTCCCAGGCACCTGCACCAGCTGGGCATGAGCCTGACCCCTGGCTCCTGCTCTGCTCTCCCTTGCTGATGCACACTGCCAAGATCATCTGCAACTGAGGCACCAGCCAGCCCCAAGACTGACTTGGGGAGCAAGGTCTGGGCTGAGACCAGGAACGTGTCTGGGAACCTATGCACCCAAACCTCTGTATCCCCCTTCTGCTCTACTCTTTGTACATCTGCCTGCTGGGATTTAAGGGGCCAGGTGTGAATGTGGGTGTGAAAGTGAGTGGTCCTCTATGGTGTGCCACCCTCAGCCCGGTTGCCCTCCGTGCAAACTGGACACCTGCACATGCCTGACCCTAGGTGCACACTCACCTTCTGTGGTCCGCGTCTTCCTCTCAGGGGTGCTGCCTCCATGTCTAATGGATGCAGGAGGCTGTTCCTGCCCAAGAGCCAAGGCCCACAGAGGAGCCATCATGCTACGCTGTGGTCATGGCACAGTGTGGAGAGGTTATCAGGGCTCAGCGTGAGGCCAACTGTCTGGCTACAGCCCTGACACTGCTTTCAAGAGATGGTCCCCTCCACTCAGTTCTTCTCATGTTTGCCTGCACCTATTCACTGACCCTTAGGCCTCCTAACCCCTGACCTGTAAACTGAGGTTTGGGGAGGGAAGGCTAGTGAAGTTTATCTCTAGATCTGAGAAGGTACCACGTAGCCTGTGGAGGGGGCCTCCCTTCCCTACTGCAGGACCACCCTTGACTCACCCCTGACTTCTTTCATCCTGAACAGGCCCACAGTGGTGAAGGAGGGGCAAAGAAGGCCCCAACTCTGGCTTTCGGAAGTGGAACCCAGCTGGCAAGGTAAGGGGGCTAAACTAACCTAGCTCACCCAGCCTAACCTCCATGCTACTAGATGGTTCCACCTCTCTCTGGAGGATCAAGGGGCTTCCTAAAATGACCATGACTGGGTTCAAAGCTCCCTGCAGGACCCCTTCTCCTCCAAGGGCCACACCCTGACTTTCAGGAGACCCCCTTCTAGGGCTTTGGCTGATCAGTTCACCCCTACCCCCACCCCTACCTGTTTCCCCCTCTTCATGGGAAGTAGACGTCTCTGCCCACAGGATCAGAGCCACTTTCCCACAGGGATCAGGCATCCTTACTCCTGGGCATTCTACCCCTGCCACAAGGATCTGCTCACTTTCTTCCTCCTGTCCACCTGTGTCCTGGTTTGGCACCTGCTCTGCGCTTTTGACTGGAGCCAGAGGTCAGAAGGACAGAATTTTGGCTCTAGAACCTCCCCCCGCCTGGAGTTCAGGCCTGGCGGCACCTTCCTTGGGAAACGGCGGTGGGAGCGGCTGCCCAAACCCCTCCTCCGGCCCTCAGAGGCCCCGCCCCTGCCTTCCTCGCAGCCATGGCGGCACCCTCATTGCTCGCGGTCCCCCCGCTGGGGGCCCTCTGCCGCTGGGCCGAGGCAGGAGCCCCCGCCATGGCCGCCGCCACCAGGGAGGGGGAGGGGGTCATAAATAACCCGCGGGGCAGCGCGGCCCCGGCGGTGCAGACAGCGACCCAAGACGTCCCCTGGGAGCGCGCGGGGGCGGCCCGCAGACCCTGCTGCCCCCAACCCGGGCTCAGCCAGCCTTGACCGCCTCTTCTGGAGCTCTCCGACCCAGTCCACGACTGGCGCTCCTGCCAGTAGCCTCCCTCCCATCCTGGAGGGCCTGCCTACCCCCATCTCCAGACTGTGCCCCTTAGAGCCCCTTTTCATCCATTCCTTCACCAGTCATTTATTGAGCACCAGATGTGCAGCCCCAGGGAGAGGGATCCAGAGGTGAGACTGGGAGTTGCAGAGGAAAGCAGTGTGTCTCTGGATCTCAGGTGCATCCTTGGGCCTGCTCCCTCAGCCTGGTCTTCCTGAGCTCATCCAGGGTGACTGTCAGGGTGGGAGAGCAGGCCCACACATGCCAGGCACGGAAAGGCATGCAGGGACAGCCCACACAGGTGTGAGCCCAGCTGACACGTCTCTGAGGAAGTACATCCTTGTGTACACATCCGTGTCCTCAGGCAAGCACCCGAAGCCCGCAACAGATACGTACGACAGGGTACATTCTCAAAAGCGCATGCGCAGGACAGGGGCTTGCACGGATGCTGACATCTTGACCACACACGTGCACGGACAGTGTATGTGTTCACTTACAGCACAGCAAGAGGAAGGACACCAAGACCTGTGCAAAAACATCCGTAGACACACAGGCCTGCACCATGGGCTCCATTTGGATACAGCTGTCATATCTAAGACAGCATGGCTGCGGCAAGTGTCTGGTTTAGGAAGGGTTAACCTGTGAGGTCAAAGGTCAGTGGTGAGTCAGCTGGGGCTCCCCCAGACTCCCTGCAAGAGTGGCCAGAGCTTCCCTCCGGGAGGAATGTGTCTGTTTCCAGCTGCAGGTCAGACACAGGAGGGGCTGCCCTGCGCGGACATGCCTTACCTTTGGCCAGTCCCGAGCTGGCGGCAGGCCATGCCGTCTCCGTCTCAGGAGTAGAGATGTTTCCGAGCCCAGTCTGTTCACTGACCTTAACATATGCCATTTAAAGGAGAAAGAGATAGGACCTAGGGTCAACCTTACGTTCTCCCGTGGGTGTGCAGACTTGGGGCACCCACAGGGCACACGCTGCCGGAGAGCACTGGTTGCACGATACTCACCTGCTGTGTTACACAGAAGTTGGGACACACACACACTTTCTCAGACACAAATGAGCTCAACACACAGGGTGCGCTGGGTACACTGATGTCGTACAGAGGAAGTTGCTGGTCTGGCAACATGGGTCGGAGTCTGGCTACCACTGGCTCTGCTTGCTTGGCCCCTCTTGAGGAGGGACGAAGACACCCACTTGCTGGCATCACTGGGGACAGAGAGCAGCACCTGCCCCAGAGCAGCCTGCCGGGGGCTGTGGACCCTTCTTGGCCAGGGTTATGCTGAGGTAGGCTGACACAGGTGGTAAGGACGGCAGACTCTGCAGGGGCCTGAGATTTGGGTCCTCCTGGCTAGCCACTGAAGGACCCAGTCTTCTCTGCCCTTCTTTGGACCTTAGTTTCTCCATCTGAAAAATGAGATAGGGGCTCAAAATCTGTGGGTTCCCTTTGGCTCAGAGGAGAGCAGTCAGGGTAAGATGTGGCTACATGTGCTCTGGTCAGCACGGTGAGGCAGGCCTGGCACACCCTAGATGCTTTCTCCATAAATGGGCCCAGAGTGCAGGACCTGGGGGGTCCACTCCAAGGTAGGGCCAAGTAAAGGGCAGGAGCAGAGTCTTCCAGGGCCCCTAGGGACAAAAGAATCTATCCCAGTGAATGGGCATGAGGGCTGGTGTCACCCCTTTCTCTCCCTGTCGACATTGCCAGCCTACTGCCTGGACATGGCTTGGGGTGGAAACGGGGTTGGGGGGACCCCCGGACGCAGCTGGTGCCCTGCTGGGTGGATGTGGGTGCCAAAGCCCCACGTGGTCCTCATCCCTCATGGCACAAGCCTCTGCAGCACCAGTCACCCCCTCTTTCAGATGTCAGGTCAGGGAGATGACCAGAGTGGAGTAGTAGAGCTGGGTGCAGCACGCAGACTCAGCTCCAGTCCCATTACACCCCTACGTCCCAGGAATGTGCCAGCAGGGGCTGAGCATGAGAGACGAGGAGACCCTTACCTGAGAGTGTAGGGTTTCCTATGTGCTCGTGTGTGTCCATACTGTGTGCTTATATGTGAATGTGCTTCCCTCCTCCTGTGACCACAGTCTTGCTGTCCACATCAGCTCATAGTCAGCGTAGATCCCACATGAAGGCCTTAGGGACCCACGCTCCTCATTGTGGGGGTATAGGCCCTGGAGGGTCAATCCCAACTCGGCTGGTCACATGTTTACTCTTTGCATGGTCAGCTGTCTTGGCCTGGGCAGACCTGTGACCACAGTCCTGATAGAGACATTAGGATGTGCTGTCCTCAGAGTCGTAGGGCAGCTGTCAGGCTCCCATGGCGGGGAGTGGGTACTGGGGGAGGAGTGGGCTTGGATGTGGGAGGGGCCTTGGAGTAGAGCATGATGAGCATGATGGGGCAGAATGGGCTCCCGTGGGCTCTCTGCCAGGACTGCCAGGTGGAAGTTGAAGGAGAAGAGGGGACATTCAGGTGGGGACCCTCAGCACAGAAAGCCTGGAGGCAGAGGGAAACGGGAGGTGAGGGGTCAGTTGGTGGAGGGCTAGGAGGGTGGGAGGCTACAGCTGCTGTCTCCAGGCCCAGCTCTGAAAGACTCCCAGGCTGCACAGGGAGCCCAGACTGGCTCTGGGAGCAACTGTTAATACGTTGGACTTCCTGCAGAGTGTGAGCTCCCTATGAGCAGGACTTTTGTTTTCTGACATACCCACGTGTCAGCATTTGAGGGCTGCATACAGGGGTCCATCCTGGTGTGGCCCACTCAGCCCAGCTTGGCCTCCTGCCCTGGGGAAGCCCCATCCCTGCTCACCTCTTCTCCCAGCACCTGTCCACTGGGCTTCTGCCCAGGCAGGACTCTGAATACCCTCCTGTCCCCAGAAGATTCTCAAGAGTTTGGCCACAGTCATCCTCTTCATCAGAGAGAGAGAGAGAAAGTCCTCAAGCCTCTTGGCAAGGCCTCATCCACTATGTTGCAGCAGGATTGCAACTCTGCACCTGCCTGCGCTGGGAAGAGGGGTGGTCTGGGTGTACCTCACACGCAGTCCCACCGTCAGGCTCACCAGGAAGACCAACAGTCACTTTGACGGCATGGATTTGTCGCCTCAAGAAGTAGCAAGCCGAGGTGGTCAGTGAATTCACGATTTCACGAGTCCAGCCCAGGCTGGCTGTTTGAGGTCATCGACTTAGCCTGACCCCATCCAAGGCCCGGTCCTCCTTGCCAGTGGGCCCATTCCTCCAAGGGCTGGTTGAGTTGGTGACATCCCTGTGGGGTGCCCCGAATGCATTGACATCTGTGAGTGCCTGTCTGGGTGTGAGTTTCCTTTATTTTTATTATTTTTAAAGATTTACTTATTTGGTGGAGGGAGGGACAGACAGAGAGGGGGAGGGGAAGCAGACTCCATGCTGAGTGGGGAGCACAATGCGGGTGCCCAATCTCATGACCCTGAGATCCACCTGAGCCGAAACCAAGAGTCAGACACTCAACCAACTGAGCCACCCAGGCACCCCTGGGTGTGAGGGTTCCTTTATTACTGCAACCCACTAAGTCCTCCATGGGGTCAACTCACCTTCTGCGCGGAGTGGCCCCGCACACTGTGCCATGAGAACAGGAACTCTGTGATGCCCAACCGTGTGAAGTTATGCACGGTGCCCCAGGTGCAGTCTCAGAAGTGGGTAGGCTGAAGAGCACAGCCTGGTACGGGCTGAGACCCTGAGCAGAGCCCATCGGCAGAGGCCAGACCCACACCTACCTCCGGCAGGGGAGGGGCAGCAATTCCAGGGCTCTGTCCAAGGCCACAACCTGGCACTTTCTCCGGGGCATTTAATAGTCCCAGGTTGGCCTTGGGGGCCTTCCCACCTGCAGACTGGCTAGGCTGCTTGGGGGCCTGGGGGAAGTGGGAGCAGAAGAGGCAACCAGAGGGACTGGGGCTGGTCTGAGGGGGTTTTACCTCTGCATAGAGGAATATGGGCATCCCCAAATGTGGAGTCCTCATGCCCTGCTCAGGACAAAGGATCCTGACCTTTGATGCTCTGTGTACATGCAGATGCTAACAGAGGTCAGCGTGCTATAGACCCCTCCCAGGAGAACAGACAGACCATTCTTCCAGACTGGGTGGCCTTGCCAAAATATGAGTCTGCCACATGTTGGCAGTTGAGTAACTGTGTGTCTAAGGTCCAGCAGGTATATGTGGGCTCCTGAGCTCCCGGGGCCTCAGAGACGTGACAGGGTGATTCATGACTGGTGAGGGGCAAAGCCAGAACTCCTGCTGGGTTATCCCATTTCCATCCAGGAACATGGTCCTCAGCGAATTGTCAGCTTCTGCTTGATAGCGTGATTTTGGCCTCAATACATTGGGATTTTTCTTAGTGCTTCTAGTTGACGCCTTGCTATGTATTAGATGGGCTTCACTCATGGGCACATGCCCTGAGACCATCCCCTCAGATCAGCCTCGCCTCTCATTCCTGCCTCACCCACCCCTCAAACATAGGCTGGGTTGAGGGGTAGATGGGTGGGGGGATGGACTGACGGGTGAATGAGTGGATGATGGGTGACTGGGTAAGTGGGTGGGTTCTACACTAGGCACTCTTCTCTTTCATAAGACTTCTGTGGTTACCTTTACAGACTATGAACCTGAGTCTCTAGCTTCAGTCCAGACACTCAAGATAAGCAGGTGGGAGCAGGGCCAACATCACCACCAGGCACAGAGAGCATAGAACCTGGATCCCTGGTGCTTTTAGAGACGACAAAGACATTTTACTTTAATTTCCCTTAAAACCAGAAGGAAGAAAATAATATAATAGCCTGCCCTGTGCATCCACCCCACAGCCCCCTGAGGCTTTTTCCTACCGCCATGCTGTCATCCCCATCTCACTCGCAGTCCCTCAGAGAGCAGGCACCATACTCCTCCCCATTAGCCAATCAGCAAACCTCATATGTGCTCCCTTCTAGATCCCTTTCCTTCAAATACCTAGTCTGGCCCCTCTCACCTATGATATTTCTGTGATACTCCCAGACTCTGCCCCCACTCGTCCAGTACCTGATGGGCACATCTGGCCAACTTGCTCTCCAGGGGCTCCTTTGGGAACAGTCTGGGACCCTTGGCCTCCAGGCCTTGCCTCCGCCCCTGGGCTCAACTTCCTGTTTCCCTGTCTTCTTCAGTGTCTGAGCATGGCTGAGTTGTTGCCTTTGCCCAGGAGCGTCACTCCCTAATATCACTATTCTGTGGCCCCGTTACCACTTGTGTAGCAACTTCTGCATTTGGGAGTCCTTTCCTCCATTGAAAAATTTTAAATTATATTTTATAACCCTATTGATATAAAGACAAATATAATCCATGGTAGATATATTATTTAATCTTCATTATTATTATATTATTTTTTTTCCTTCTGGTTTTAAGGGGAATTAAAGTAAAATGTCTTTGTCGTCTCTAAAGGCACCAGGGATCCAGGTTCTATGCTCTCTGTGCCTGGTGGTGATGTTGGCCCTGCTCCTACCTGCTTATCTTCAAGACTTACAGCAGCAACCCCTCCTCCAAGAAGCCTCCCTGGATTGCCTTCCTTTCCTGTCAGGGTGTCCTGCACCCCAGAACACCAGCACATACCCTGGACCCACAGGTTTCTTACTGTGTTGCTGAGGCCCTGGGCAGACGAGGGTGCTCAGAAGGGCCAAGTGGAGCCCCCCTGGGGATGCTGATTTGGGTGACTTCACTGAGAAGTGATTCTGGCAGGCTGGTACGGAAGCTGAGCTGGAAGTGGCAGTGGCAGAGGGAGGTGGTGTTGACAGAGACTGGGATTTTGAAGAAAGACCTGACCTCTAGGGAGGGGCAGGCAAGGCCAGCAGACATCACTCCCAGTTCTGGGTGAGTGGCAGGAGACCAGGCCCAGAGTGGCCCTAGCTGCCAAGACCTCCCCATCTCTGCCTGTAGGGACTCTGCCTGTGTCTACACCTGCAAGTAAAGCTGGACCAGGCCATCACATCTCTGGAGCCAGGGGTTTGACTTCCCTCTTTCTGGGCCCCCCTCCTCCAGCCATTTTGCCCCCAGGGTTTCCAGGCAGGTCCAGCTGCTCCCCCCATCCCCCAACCCTACTCTGGCTCTGGCCAGGTTCTCAAAGGTCTACCAGGGAGGGTGGGGCACAGACATGCACATGCCTGGGTGCACACCGAGCCTCCGTCTTGACCCTCGAGTGCCCAGCCTGGGGATTGAGTAGTGGCCACTCAGATTGGTGAGGTGGGGATGGGGGTCTAAGGGCATTTACAGCCCAGGTCCAGGGGATGACTAGGTTCCTGGTGCCTGCCCATGATGATAGGAAGCACTCAGATCCCTGGGCACCATCAGGCTGCTCTGAACAGCACGGGAGGGTTCCAGAGCAGAGGACTCACCCCCCTCCCCCAATCCCAGTGCCTGCAGCACTGAGGCCAAGACTAATAAAACACCCACCTCCCAGGAGACAGCTTTATCTTGTTGATTGGAAGTCTGCCAGCCCAATTTATGATGGAACATAAGCTCTCCAAATCTGAATTTATGCTCTGTAGTATAACGAGAGGTCAGTGGGATTAAAAGTGGGCTTGTGAGAGAGCCATAGGCAGCTCAGTCCTCCGCGCTGCCACAGGAACCTCATGGCCTGAGTCCCTGCACCCAAGGGAGGACAGCACAGCCCAGCAGCAGGACAGGAAAAGGGAGGGCAGGGGAGAGATCAGCCTGAGAAGGGGAAAGAGGATGGGAGGCCAGGCAGGAGAAGCGGACAGAGTGGGGCACGGAGCCTGGGGCTGCTGCTGGCCTGGACCATCAGTGTGACAAAGCAGGCACTGGGGAAGAAGGGTAAAGACAGGTAGGGATCAGAGGCTTTCATGCAGGGACAGGGGAGCTTTCTCTCGCCACCAAGCCCTGGGCTAGACCCTGGCCCTGAGAACGGGTAGGAGATGGCCCTGAGGCAGGCTGAAGGACAGAGTTCCGACCCTGGCCCTGGGGCCCAGCTCAGTCAGACCAACCTCCCTGTCCCCCTCCTCGACACCTTCTGTCTTCAGCACCCCGTGGAGTCCTGGGTGAGGGTGAGAGAGGGGTGTGCTCTGTTTAGGTGGGGCCCTGCACACCCGTCTAGCATGAGACTGACTTTCTGAGGACAGGCTAGACCCTGGCTTCAGAGTTTATACAAATAAACGAAATGAGAAGTGCTGGCAGCCCTGATCGGATTACAGAGTCATTCATTCTTTGGTCGTTAATAATTTGTGCAATAAAGGGTTGCAGCCGCTCAGTGTGAGGAGGAGGCTGTGGCCCAGCCTTCCCTTGGCGCCGGGCCGCGGGAGCTGGAAACATAAATTATTAGTTTCTTATCGCTCAGCCTGCCATCGCTCATGCTGCCAGGAGCCTGGCAGGAGCCAGCGGCAGTCCCACCGCCTGCCTTGGCCGGACTCTCAGCTGCCGTTTGTTGGGAGACTCTGGATGAGGCCCCTCATCGCCCACCCCAGCCCCTCACTGGTGGGACCCTGGGCCTTCAGGGGCTGCTTAGGGGCTGCAGCTGGCACTGAGGCCTATTCTGGAGCTAGGGGAGCTTTGGGGTTTGAGTTCTTGTGCTCTGAGCCTCAGGCCCTCCCTCTCTGTGAGTGAAGCCGAACCACTGGAGGTCGGTCAAGCAACCGCCCACTCCTGGCCCATGGTATTTGCTCAAAAAGGGCAGTGGTCATTGTGAGCAACACCACGGAGGTCCACAAACCGCTCTCCACCTTGGCCAACCCCCCGGTCAAGGGAAAAGAAAGGTCTGTATCCGGGTGCATGTCAGCTCCTCTTGGTATGAACGTGCCTTCCTGGGTGGGACTCAGAGCGTGGTTTGGACCAGAGTCAGGTGAAACCTTTCTCTGGCCTTGCTTTGTGGTGTCTCTTCCAGCTTTCTGCATTTCCCTGGTTTCTCTGTGGGTCACAGGAGTAACCAGCCGTTTCCTGTCTGGGGTCAGGCTGCGGTGTCCCAGCAGGAACAGGGGTCTCCGCCCCGAGATTGTGCCCATAATTCCTTTTTTTAAAAAAGATTTTATTTATTTATTTGACAGAGAGAGACACAGCGAGAGAGGGAACACAAGCAAGGGGAGTGGGAGAGGGAGAAGCAGGCTTCCCGCCGAGCAGGGAGCCCGATGCGGGGCTCGATCCCAGGACCCTGAGATCATGACCTGAGCCGAAGGCAGACGCTTAATGACTGAGCCACCCAAGCGCCCCTGTGCCCATAATTCCTAAAGTGGCCTCTCTGATTACATCTGATCTGTAATCAATCGGGGATTTCAATATCGAATAAGGGAAATTTTATGACAAATAAACAGAAGAAAACGAGTCCCCTTTGAAAATAGGTGGGCAGACACAAAGGCACCTATTGTGTGATTCCACTTACAGAAACATCCGGAACAGGGAAAGGAACAGGGAGAGAAAGCAGCTTAGGGGTTTCCAGGGTCTGGGCTGGGGGAGAAATGGGCAGGGGGGCTTCTGGTTCGGGGACTCCTTTGAGACATGAGATATTCCGCAGCAATCTTCTGTGGTGTGGTGGCACAGCGTTGGGAATGTACTTATGCTCATTACATGTTCAGTTGAAAACAAGTAATTTTATTTAAAACAAATAATAAACAGTATACAGAACATGAAAATGAACAATATGAACCAGAACAATATGAACCAGAGAGAAAGAACATAGGGGGAGGGGATGAAACAATCTGGCGGGGCGTCGGGGTCCGGCGATGGACCTAAGGGTAATTGTACAAGGAGCTCTCCCCGCAGGGCTGTGGGCTCTGGATGTGGCTCTGGGAGCCCTGCGGGAGCAGGAGTAGGGGCAGGGGTTGGGATAGGGGCAGGGCCAGGGGCAGGGCCAGGTGTAAGGGCAGGGCCATGGGCAGGGGCAAGGGGAGGGATAGGATCAGCAGTCCTGGCAGGTGCAGGATCTAGGGCAGGACCTGGGTAAGGAACAGGAACAGGAGCTCCGGCAGGCGCAGGGGCAGGGGCAGCAGGTCTGGCAGGGGAAGGGGCAGAAGCAGGAGCAGGAAAAGGAACAGGAACAGGAGCTCAGGCAGGGGCAGGGGCAGGGGCAGCAGGTCTGGCAGGGGAAGGGGCAGAAGCAGGAGCAGGAAAAGGAGCAGGAACAGGAGCTCAGGCAGGGGCAGGGGTAGGGGCAGGGGCAGCAGGTCTTGCAGGGGAAGGGGCAGAAGCAGGAGCAGGAAAAGGAGCAGGAACAGGAACTCAGGCAGGGGCAGGGGAAGGGGCAGCGGCAGCAGGTCTTGCAGGGGAAGGGGCAGAAGCAGGAGCAGGAAAAGGAGCAGGAACAGGAACTCAGGCAGGGGCAGGGGAAGGGGCAGCAGGTCTGGCAGGGGTAGGGTTATGGGCAGGAGCAGGGTCAGGGACAAGAACAGGAGCCCAGGAAGGGGCAGGGGAAGGGGCAGCGAGTCTGGCAGGGGCAGGGACAGGAGCAGGAGAAGGAGCAGGAACAGGAGCTCAGGCAGGGGCAGGGGAAGGTGCAGAAGCAGGAGCAGGAACAGGAGCTCAGGCAGGGGCAGGGGCAGGGGCAGCAGGTCTGGCAGGGGTAGGGTTATGGGCAGGAGCAGGGTCAGGGACAAGAACAGGAGCCCAGGAAGGGGCAGGGGAAGGGGCAGCGAGTCTGGCAGGGGCAGGGACAGGAGCAGGAGAAGGAGCAGGAACAGGAGCTCAGGCAGGGGCAGGGGCAGGGGAAGTGG